CTGCAAGAGCCTGAATACCCACATATGGAAATGTCGAATTTGGCCTGTGACGAATATTCAGGCCCGCCTTCACTTAGGGCGGGCACTTGGCTTGCAGGGGCCTTGGCCCAGAACAATGTGATGTCTGAAAGGGCCACTTGAGGGCTTGTTCCTCACAAAACTTTTCTTTTTGATTAGTGGCTCTTTATCTGGGCGATTCTCCTCACCCACCCTCCCCACCTATGTTGTTGCCCCCTCTGGCCTTACCTTCTCTATCCATCTCCGGGTACCCCCTGCGACGGCATTGGTGAGTTGCCACGTCAGCAGGCCACATCAGCGGACTACGTCAGCAGGACACACCAGCAGACCACGTCAGCAGGCCACGTTAGCAGGCCACATCAGCAGGCCACGTCAGCCGACAGAGCAGGAAATACCACGTCAGCAGGCTCCCGGCCTGGTATATGCTGTTGCGGTCATAAACAGCCGTCATGGACCAGAGGTCCGGAGAAGCAGACGAGGCCTATCAGGCCCGGATGTTGGCTTGGAGTACCGAAACAAAGAAACTGGCAAATGACGCAGCAGCAGCAGCAAAGAAGAAGGCAGAGGATGCCGAGCAGGCACGTCTGCTGGCACTTGAACAACAGCGCCAGCATGACGAGGCATCAGCAAGAGCTGCCGATGAAGAAAGGAACCAACGTCGTGAGAAGATATTTAGCGGAGAGCAGACCTTGCTCACAATGGCAGCGGCATGGTGGACCGAGGCCGAGAATGGCAAGTTGGAGGATTGCAAAAACAAAATCGCTCTCCTCCTCTCGCATCTCACAGACCTCCTGGCAACCTGCATTACACAGCAAGAGGATATCCACAGCCTCGACGACTCGCTAGCTCAAGTACAAGGCCGCCTTCAGCAGCTGGAGCAGCGACCTGTCGCCGCCCCCGATGCAAGCTCTTCCAATACCTCCGATCGCCTCGAAGCGTTGGAGATGGACGTCGGCTCCCTCAAGGACGGCGTGCAGTTACAGCAGATCGCAACGCAACAGTTGCAATAGCGGATTTGTACTACCGCCAATACCTCAGGTTCGGAACCGCGCGAGACAACTCCAAAGTTTGACGGGCAGGAGATCTTTTGCGACTCGACGAAGACAGATCCAGTTCCATGGTTTCGCAAGTTCGAGCTCACGCTGCAGCTACACAACGTCAAAGAACACAAGCACCACGCATACTTGTACTCTCGCTTCGGGGGCGCGTGCCTGGCTTGGTTGGACAACCTCTTGTCCAAGTACGGAGTGGTAGCTAACGACTTGCACACTAAGATCAGTTGGGATGATCTGAAGGCGGCGTGGCACAAGCGGTTCCAAGTCGAGCCGCCCGAGATCAAGGCTATGGACAAGCTCATGGTCTTCGAGCAAGGCACGCTGCCAAGTACCGACTGGATCGCCGAGTACCAACGCTTGACGTCAGTCCCAGACATCCTGCGCCCGTCCTACTAGCCCACGGACCCAGTTCCCTACTCTTCCGTGTCCCAGCGGCATGCTCACGCTCAGACCTCCCGTGGTCAACTCGTGGTTGGCGAACGACCACACACACAAAAAAAAAATATTGCTAACACCGTCTCGACGTCGCCGTCGGCAAAACCAAAGGGGTTAGCCCCGCCGCATTTGAAATAAAGGCAAATAATAAAAAAATAATAATAATTATAACCACGAAAATTCAAAACTAGAACCGCCCGGCAAAAGGAGGAAAGGACAAGTATTAATGCCCTGCCGCGCAACCCCACGGACCGCAAAACCACGGGGGATAGCCTTTCCCATTCTCAGCCCTGTGGCTCCTCCTCGCCACTTTGATACTCCCACGTCATTGTCGCTCGATCTCGATCCCTGAACCCCTCAGATGGAAGTCCGACACCGTAACCAATAATGCTAGGCCCGAGTCTGGGTCTAGCTCTGGCGGACGCCTAAATAAACGGACACTGTGCGACGCGCCAAGCTACCTAAATGCCTTCAGAAGTCACATTGTTGTTGATGTCGTCCTTCGTACGTACGCATAGGTCACGGGCAAGCACCTCAATCAACGAGACATAATCTTTTTAATCCCTGTTTGATCAGAAGAGAAATTCCGGCCGGCGATCACGCCGACTCTTCAGTCACCAACAACTAAGAAGATCACGCACGCCTAAAAAATCCGCGCGCCCACACACTCTCTATTCTAGTCAACCATCCAACCGTCGTAAACATATAGACGCAGCTGCGCCTCGCGCGGAATACTTAAACTTTAAACCAAACCTATTCTCTGTCGCATGCAAAAACCAGGGCGGATACCCTTGTAAGGGTATTCGCGCCGATAGCTTACCGGACCATATTAAGCGACGTCCCCGTCGCTTCGTCAAATCAGAAAGCTATAAATCCATCCACACTCCAAATGCTGACGAGAAAGGAACCAATCCGATTAGCCGACAGACTCAGGTTCGAGGCCTCCATCAATCCATGCCAACACAACTATATGCTGCCAGGGTTTTAACCTGGGTCTCCATTGTTCTGACACTTAGGACGCCGGTGTACTACGCATCGGTGGACAAAAAAGTGGTGATATTGTAGAATTTAAATTATACAATTAATTATTAGATTATTGATCATTATTATGTATCTCAACCGTTAAACATCCGACATGGTAAGTATCCGAGTCTCAGAGACTCGCAAAATCTCTTAGGATTCTCACACTTCGGTCACACAACAAACTGCACTACCTCTCCGTATACTCTGCCCTTTCACCTGCCCGTAGGCAGATCGCACGAGTATATCGAAGAGTAGACAACATTCACATTCACACAATCCAATACACATGAGATGTATCCCACACATCTCTCACACAAAACCATCATACATCAGGATAAAACCACACATGTGAGAGCGATAATGATCGTCATATATAAAGAATAATCTTTAGAGAAGGTTTTCCAACTCAATATATGTATCGGGGTACAATACCCCAACTCAAACGCGAACCAAATGGTCTCGAATTACACATATACACCCGGAGTTGAACAATCTCAACTCGAATTGGTATCAGTACCACACACAGAAGTTGTGCCTTCTCTGACCAGAGCTAAACTAAGGAAGTCTTGGTCAGGATGTGATCACACCCCTCAAATCAGAGGGACTCGAGTAATTCAAGACATATCCAGATATCCAAGGAAAAGTAAGACTAGAAGTCATTCATACACAAGTCTTACAACAACCTTCCTAGGCTAGAGAGCCTATCTCCCACATGCTGGGGTTTCTTCCCAAGCCTCTCCTATCTCTCACACCTATACAACCATTTAGGCCTAGACACGACGTAGGTCCCATATCTTCTTCTCCCAATCAATAGGCCTGATAGAATAGCCCCCTACTTCGTAACACTGTCCTTAGGGTCACTCCTTGATCTTCCCACTAGACATTCTCATAACGTGATGTGAGGCAGACCTAACATACCCCATATATACAGTTATTCTATTGGGGTCCACCCCCCCTGCCTACAACTCAGGTCATCTTACCGGACCATTATTACGAAAACCCCTCCCCTCTGCGCGTCGTGTCTATTAAATTGGGATTCCCCTGCCCATATCTATAGCCTACTCAAACTCCCAGGCCCTTTTTATACAAAACCGTCTCCTCTCCCCATTCATACAATATGGCCCTACTCTAACTAGAGGGTTCTATAGACAATATATATCCCACATAGGCAGAGCCCTCGAAGCCAATCTTAGGCAGACAATAAACAAGACTACCAATGTTACCGACCCCCGTACTCGTATCATAGGCGAGGCTCCCCCTCACGTCCTAACCGACCTACCCATGGCCTTAGACACCTGGTCTAAGGGAAAAACCTATCCGGGCTAACTTGGAGCCCCTCAGGATCCGCTATATACACCTCACGCACCAGAATACATCTGTACATGCCTCGCAACTCATCTGATATATCTCGCCGACTAACACATAGGGGCTCAGTTTACCCAACTGATTGGCCTGCCGTCCTAGCTCCCCTATTCATTTATATGTTCAAGTCCATAAGAGACATACTCCAGCAGGATACAAGGGCACCCTCTATCGGCCAACTGCTGCACGAACCTCATTCCAGTCTACAACCTCCCCATCGGGATCATGGGAGCTTGCATACTCATCAACCACCCTGGCCACGCTCCTGAGTCCTTGGCTACCGGGCAAAAACCTCTGATGCAGATACAGGCCATATATCAATTTGCACGTGTATCGCATGTATCCCCATTTGCGTGCCTTCACAGCGGTTTCTGCGGCGGCTTCCACTCTTGCCTGTCCCCCAAAGCTTTCTTCTATTAAGACCTCTGGCAGGGTAACTCGTAATGGGGCTGAGGGAAGTGCAAACTCTTTCGCATGCTTGACCCCTACCTGGGTCACCACCTGCTCTTCCCCTCCCTGAACCTTGCCTCTTGCCCACTTTGCGGCGGCTGCCTCAGCTACTCTCAAGGGTTTCGCGAGTAGGTTTTCATGCCCAAGTGCCAACTCTATCCCGTGCAAGACCCAGAATGACGGCGAGGCGTACAGCGTCACCCTCACAATCGCGCAGTCCTGATCATCCCTAAGGCCAGACTCGATCCAGATAAGGACCCCTTCATCTATCGACATGCCCCACCAGGAAGAGATGTACTCTCCTTCTCTGACTGGCCTCGGCAAGGACATCTCCAGCCCATCTCCCCGTTTGACTGGTAGGGCCACACAGGGATCTTCCTTCGCATAAGGCATCCTGAGTTGCCTTTGCTCCGGTCTGGGTTCTGCCCATCACAAAAAAAACGTTCAGCGTACGCCTTTCGTTATCATACTGACAGCGTTCCAACATTCCTACCCCTGAAGCCTTAACTTCAGATCATCTTTCACAAAAATCCATCCTTTCCAGTGTTTACGACCACCCAACTTAGAGAAAATAAATAATGGTAATATATCACGATAATATTGCTTTCATAAATATCAAAAATATTCATAATTATAGTATTCACGAAAAATGATATATTACTATAGTAACTGACAACCATAATACCCATAGTAGTCAGATACCTCATATGCGAGCTAGTCAGTTTATCAAAACATAAATATCTCATACGACAGGCCTATGTCAACAGACATAACATATGATAGGCACATTACAATAAGAGAATGATTGTCAACAGTTTAGCACTCTCAGACATAATATTGGTGAGAGTACCATACTTTTACTCCCTGGCCTTGACAGAAGTATACTGTGGCGAGGGGCAGTGTAATCCCTTTTCAGAAAGGATAAAAAACGATATATTACTATAATAACTAACAACCATAATACCCATAGTAGTCAGATACCTCATATGCGAGCTAGTCAGTCACTCAAAACATAAATATCTCATACGACAGGCCTATGTCAACAGACATAACATATGATAGGCACATTACAATAAGAGATATGATTGTCAACAGTTTAGCACTCTCAGACATAATATCGGTGAGAGTACCATACTTTTACTCCCTGGCCTTGACAGAAGTATACTGTGGCGAGGGGCAGTGTAATCCCTTTTCAGAAAGGATAGCATCTTAAATCCCCAAGTCCCACTCAAGGATAAAGCCTCACTGTTGTTCCCTCCGATTCTAGCATTCGTTCCTTGCAGACCTTTGTCGATAAGGAAAACAACCTCACCATACATGCTTCGAGGTGTACGGCCCCGTCCTGTGCTGGCGAACCCACTTGTCACGAAAATAGTTGAGGATTCACCCCTTACTTTTCTGTGGCTAATAGTAGTTGTTTCCCTTATAGACCATGATGGTCTGACAAGGCTTAAACACTTTCCTCCTATTCAGTAGTAGTGTAGCCATTTTATCACAAAAGATACAACAACAACACCCCACTATGGACCAGGAACTGTGTTCCGGCGTGGGTCTCACTACTACTTACAAGACAAATTTATAGCTTCTTTAAAGCGATCTCTCATGGGACCAATAACATAAGATTGCAACCTTCCTTAGGGTAGACCTTACACATCGACCACTTCCTGAGAAGTACTTATCTCAAGAGGTGGTCACTCCATTCACCTCTAAATCCGCATCAGACGTGGATTCTGTATAATATTTCTACCCCCTTTTTTAGGAGCAATCCAAACACACAACCCTTAATGGATAGTCATAAATCGATAATTGGACTTGAGGCACTCATGCAAATCCTTGCAGACTGAATAGTTCAAATACATACTTGAAATACATGGCCCATGTAAATATTACTGACAAGGATAATTATCAAAGGAATATAGTTATCAAGCACATAGCCTCACATAATTAGACATTAGGCAAGCATACTCGGATAAAATCTGGCATATATGGATGAGTTCAACATATAACTCAGATAGAAATGCCCTCATACAGTTAGTCTCAAGTCCTTAGCTCCAACTCATAAATTCAAGTGGATGGTTCAACCTTAGAAAGGTTCAAAAGAAGGTCTAACATCAACTACAACTCGTTGCCCTATGAAGAGTGGACAAAAGGGTCCAAGTATTAACCCTTTCACTGCTATCCTGGCTACCCCTAGGATCAGATATCTTTCTCGTAGAGAAGTTACTATGTAGACCTACTACGTCTCGTAGCCTCTTCTATTGAGGTCATAGCATGGTGCTTCCTGCATCTATCTGTTGCCTTATATGCCTAGTCCAAACACATCACGCGGGGCAGACCTCACATTATCATCACTGTATAGGCCGAACACCCGCTCAGAACCCAGACTCTGGGACCTCAGTCCATACTTAACCTAACCCTCTTTGAAGTCCCTCAGTGACTTCCAACATAATAGGCTTCTTTTACTCATCCTCTGCCTCGCCATAGAGCTAAAGTACCCTATTGCACTCTTGACCACTCGGGTAACTTCCCTCAGCCATAATGGGTACCTCATGAGGCTAACTCCCTCAACCAACATGCCCAGTCACATTGACATTATCCCATTTCACCTCAACCATATCAATTAGGCAAAGCATCGCCCGAGCCAGTCAACTATCAGGGTCAAAAACGGTACTCAACTCCAACTGTCATCATGCTAGTCAGGGTACGTAAGTGTATAGTCAAAACTTATTCCCCTCGCGCCATCTTCACTGCACCAACCAGAACCCACTTACACAATCAACCCTCACTCGCTTTCTATCCAACACCTTCAATCGATTAACCACAAGGCCCAAAAACTTCTCACTTTTGCCTAGTTCTCACATTCCCATACCCGGATGTCGTTCCACCAGGGACAACGGTAGGCAACCGTTATCCCCGGCAACGGCGCCACCTGTCGAGCGCATCGGTCCGACACCGCACCAGGGCAGCGTGGGACCCTCCCGGTCGCGTCACGCAGGAGTTGGATTTAGATCCTTCGTCGCGAATACACATGGAGCTTCCGCAAGCCGCTCCGGCCGAGTGCGCCAACCATACCTCCCGCGAACCCCTACGACAGGATAGGGCCTACGCGAGGCACGACTTACCTCCACCTTACGGGAGTTGTCACCTCCCTTCGGTGGGCGTATCCCCGCCGAGCTACCAGTCCACAGTACGGAAGCTGATCAATTGCAATCGCAGAGGTGGACCAGCCAAGGGCGTTTCTCGTTCGCTGTAGCATAGGGGGCACGCGCGGTAATACGCCTCTATCGGACCCGCATGCGAACCGACGTCTTGGGGGGCTGAGGTCCCAAGCGCGACTCGTCGTCGGTCGACTAGGACGCATCCCACACACCACGCGCACGCCACTTTATGAATTACACGCACACACACACACACGAAACGACACAACGCAAACAACGCGACAACGCTCCTAGTCCCTCGGTAGCCATCCCATAACTGTCCGATGCGGAAATCGAATAGGCGTCGCGCGGGAGGCTTTGTATAAAACCGCGCGGAGCAGGGCTAACTCATATCGACTCGCAATGCAAGCGTACGTAGGCAGTCGCAATGATGGCGTACTATGTAGTACCCATACTCATGCGGTCCTCGTTAACCTCGAGGGTCGCATTCGGCACTCAAGTGTCGGCTGGCACGCGCTTTGAGGGTTACTCTCTCGACGCTGGACAACCGCCATGCACGGTTGAAGACCACACACCCTCTTCTGCACCCTATGCAGAGTGGGTGGTACACAGGTCCGTACCTGTGGTGGCAGTCGTTTCTTACTGCCCTGGAGATTAGCCCCACTCCAGGCCTAGAGATAAGTCAAGGGGTTTGACTTTGACGGCTGCCACGGACTACAACGTCCAACTATAAAATTCTAAAAAGCAAAGAATAAAAGAGGGTCTTCCTTTTCTCTCAGGCCATAATCTGGCTAACCCTTGCGCACGACCACAGTAAGCCGCGCGCATACCCAGGGCACATATAAATATATACATAAGGTTTATTTATATAGGACGATCACTTCTCACTGTCACCGTGGGGCTCCTCACAACCATATATGTATGTAATCGCAGGCAGTCACATCCAGAGTCCGAACCACAAACATACCTGCAATCACATCAAAGATTTAACAAAAATCCACGCACCACACGGGGTCAACTCCAACCATTCCCTGCGCTCACACCCCTTGCTTTAGCCGTACAACCCTCAGCCTTAGCGCGCCCTTCCAGCAATAAAACACTCAGTACCTTTGTTAAATGGCTATTCAATAAAGTCTGGGTAAAAACACAATGAAACAGATCAAACCACAAGGCTAAAGCCTTTAGGTTGAGTGGCAAGAGTGGATTGGAGTTGAATCGTAAACCGACGATATCAACCGACCTGTTATCAGTGATAACAGAAGATGATCCTTGTGGATCAAGCTCAAACTAGTCCAAGTCCTGAATCAAACGATCAAGAGGACTTGTAACACATGACAGGCCAATCCCCACGCTAAACCTATAAGTCCATGGAGAATAATCCCCATATCAGGATCTCACTCAAATCATCCTAATTGACTAAGCCTGAATCTACTGCTAAGCAGTGCCCAAGCGAAGGTAGACCCTGGCATAATCTCCCCTAAACAGGGTGGATTGTCAAAATTGCCACTCGTCAAAATATAATATATCTCCTTTAAACTAAGAAAATTTCGGCAGCGCTTCCCGTAGGAAAAATACTTTTCCAGAATTTATATCAGCCCAAATATAAAAACAGGAATAACCTTTAAATTTTCAAAGTCCAATTTTGTCTAACTTCCTGAATTAGCAAAAATTTGGGCAGCACTTCCCTTAGAAAAGGAGACTTCCTAGGTTTCTACTAAACCATATATGTAAATTAGGCAAATTGAACTTTGAAAAGTGAAAAGTTGACTAACTCCTTGGATTTGCAGATATTTCAGCAGCGCTTCCCGTAGAGAAAGTAGCTTACCAAAATTTACACAAAGCCAAGTATAACAAAAGATCCCCGAAAATGCAGAAATTGACCTAAGTAAGAATAAAGTTAGCTCAGAAAATGCAGAAATTGAACTAACTCCTATCGCTCTAGCACGTGGCGAGCAACTAAAGCAACTACCTATCCAACTGAAACCCAAGCTAAGTAGTGGCCTCACTCAGTCACATGCAGGCCAAACCAGAAAGGTAAGTACTTCTCACCATCCCAAGTAAACCTTAACAAACAATAGTTCATGATCTTTCAATGATTTAGCCCCTTATACCCAGCGTACATAAGGCATAAGGTTAGGACACCCAAACTTATGGAATGAACCTTACCTTAGCCAGGCCTAAAGTCAGGCCACCCAAACTTATGGAATGAGCCCAACTTAGGCAAAGTATACACAAACACAAGGCACAACAACTTTTCTGTTCTTTGGGCATATGACTAGACCATTCTAGTCGCCC